GCATATTAAAGGCAGTTGGCACGATAAATCGCTATACAGGTGTAGGATTTGTACAACTGGCTCAACAGAATTCCGTGACCTCGGACAGGCGCTGCGTGAAATCTTTTCCAAGGAGGGTACCTCTATAACGCCCTATTGAGCAACAACTTTACGTCCCAAACGCCTTCCTTGCCCGCCCGCCCACAAACGGACGACCGTTTCTGACGCTCGTATTCATTCATTTGCTGAGCAAATTATGAAGCAAAGGGATTGGTATGAAGCGGCGGTGATGCTGCATGCATATATGGGTACACATATGCAGCCGTACCTTCGGTAGCGGTGATTGGCAAGGTGCGTACGGGAAACTCGTCCGAAATCGGTTTACAAGTCATTGAGAACGGAGGCTTTTTCTTCGCCGGATTTTGACCGTTTCACTCCGTTCTTTCGCCATTTCCCACTATACAGCGCCCTACTAGCATTTTAGGCTAAGTAGGAAACCATCGTGCCAACTGCCTTTAAGTCAAGCTGGCGAGGGGAACCACATACCATCCTACGGCACATTCGTTTGACATCGACTGAATTGACAGCTGCAGCTGCTACTTTATCAACAGTAAAGGCAAAACTTACTTCGAACATTGCAGCGGTCCAAAGATAAGCGGTAGAGCTTGGTCAGTCGTAATCGCGCGGTTTCCCATTAGCGTGACCGAGGGTTCAATACGGGAAGTTATCCCATCAACCCAGCGAACTGGTTGCGCTATAGGCGCCAGAGATCTGTCGGCTTGCGCTTTGAAGACAGCTCCCGCGATTAAAGTGTCATGGGTAATGGCTGTTCAATTAGAACAGTAGCTTATGAGTAATTCTCCGAAGAAAAAAAAGCAAGAAGAGCCCCTCAAGAACACCATGAACAAATCGCTGCCTGACAGTCACACCGCCCTGCGGTCTCCGTGCCAGTAGTGGATATCATCCATACAAAGAGAAAAATACGAAAAACAACAAAAACACGGCCGAAAAACAGTAAGAAAAGATAGTTCTAAAAACTCGGCGTCCGATTTTGCGGTTATGGTAGCGTGCACCTTTTAGCGCATGTCGAGCTTTTGCACCACGAAAATTGCATAACTCGTGGTTTTTGCGCATTTTACCTTGCGAGATGGGTTGCAGTTCGCCGTATTTGCTTCTAATGGATAGACTGTAACAAAGGAGAGCAGAATTATTCATGGGCACGAGCGCGGTCACCAAAAAAAGACATGCGATTCCGATTAATGCCCGCCGCCCCAACAAAGAACAACTGAGCGGGCCCTCTATCCATTAAGGGGAGGACATGCTAGCAGCACGAACGTCTTGAATATTCTGTCAGGAGCTTGTTTGCTGCAGTTGAGCGATGTTCAGGTAAGGATATTGACGCTTGGTAGAACTTCGCTTTGTTTGCCTTTTTTATGAAAGTTTCGGTAGCTGATTATTTCGTGCATAGGACCTCTGCAGCGAATTCCTGGAGAAAGAAATGTGTACATCAAACTGTTTGAAAATCCGGTCGTTCGCCGAAAAATACACTTGTCAAAAGCTTCTTCGTTTTGCTGACAAGTATATATTGTATCATTTCCAGGTAACTGCTTTTTCGCTTTTCGCTTTGGATCCGCCATTGCCTGCTCTTGAGGCTTTTTTCAGGAGGTTATTGGCTCTGAGGATTATCTTCTACTCTCTTTCAGCCAGATACTCAATCTAATTTCCAGCGACGAGCTCAATGTTCGTTCAGAGGAACAGGTGAAATAGAGAATTGGATAATATCACCTTCATTCTTACTGGCTGATGATGTTGTATGTCGAGTGCGCGTTTGGCGCGGCGCCATCCAGTTTTGCACCAATCTGAGTTCCTGCCAGTTTTGTACCAATTCGGTTACCTGCCAGCTTTCATAGCTAGCGAAGTGGGGGGAGGGGGGTGTTTACCGCGCCAAATCCAGCCCCATCATCCATAGCGAACTAGAATTCACATCTTGCCGTTCTACGGTTTCTTATACTCCAGTCATTCTTTCAGGTATTTGCCGCAGTCATTGAATGGGTAAAATTCGATTTGACAACACGAAAGCAGTTTCTCTTCAAAGTGAGGGTTGGGTTTCAATGAATAATTTACTTTATGAAGAGTAGTTTTATAGTTGCTGGAACATGTACGACTTCCTATTTGTCACCCAAAATTTTTGGTCGATACGATTTCTAAGAGCGAACTGGTGAAATCGGATGCAGGCTGCCGAGATCTTGTGGACGAAGCCAAGGTGGGTAATATTCCTGGAAGTGCAATTGCCCGCTTTGATTACGTTTGTCTCCTATTTCGGGACTATCAATTGCTGGATTTCTGCATGATTGAACGTCTGAGTTTGCCTGAATATCGCGTTCGACCACGGAAAGTGTTCTGCGGTGAAATATTATACGCCGGTATGGTGAAGTATTTTTAAATCCTACCTTTCTTTTCAATTTCTTTGTCGTGCTTAGCTGTGATACGGCGAAATTGCTTTTGTGAGAGGTTTCGTTTTTATCTTCAAACGACGTTCCATTGAAAAGAAAGTTATAAGTTTAGTAGAAAATGAGTCCAGGGCTGATTTTGACACAGCAAGGTAGGATGTAACTGTGAGGAGAACTAGGTTATTTCCATTTGCTGAATTCTTGTAAAAAGAAAGGCATTGAGATTTCTCTGGCCCCTATTGAGTGACCATATTAAGATTTCTTAGGAATAGTTATGCAGCTTGTCAGGCTTGCTTATTTGGTTTGGTTTCTCGTTCAGGTCTTATTCACAACGTCAAATATAATATTTTGCAGGGTTCTGTAGCCTGGCGGGGGCGGGATGTTGATCCGCCGGGAAACCGGAAATGCGCAGATTTTGGTTCGCTGACCTTGTTCCAGTCTACCGTTCGAGCGAAGGAACGACACTGTTTTAAAAAACAGAATTGTGTTCATCACACCGCTTCCCGCTACTTTCACAGAGCGCCGTATATACCCTGGATGTCTTTAGCCCCAAGGTTTGATTTCCTGGTTGGAAAAATGGCTAATTCCTTTATTATGCCCTGACACTTGAACAATCGAAGAAGGTTGAAGGCAAGAGTGAATTCGTGGGAGTGCGCTGGACGCAATTAGCTTTTATTGTGACGGTTAGTGGTGAAATCACGTCCAAGGAGTCTCACAGGTTCGAGAACCTTCTGAATGTTCCTTCGCCTGAGAGGGCGAGGGATTAGGAGCATCGAAATGAGAGCGCTTCGCATATTGCGCTAGAGCAAACTCAACCTTCTCAATTAGTTGTCCAGCCATTTCGACACAACAGGTATGATCTCTGTTGAGCATTATCTTCAGGAGGAGGTTGGACTGACGGTCGTCCGAACACATCGGTAGAGCGCTTCGATCCAGCAGAGGCTAATGCGGCATGGCAGCAGGTTCCACCCTTGAGCAAGAAAAGGTAGAAGTTCTGTTTCTTGGACTTCTAATGATTTTGGAATACCTGTTTAGGGACGGTCTTGTAGTACTGGACCATATGCTCTATGCCATTGGTGGATGTGATAATGGAACTTACTGGGACACTAATGAAAGGTATCGTTTACTTTTCTTTAGTGAAAATGGAAGAGATCCTGGAGCAGGGCACATTCGTTGTTGGGTTAATCCCCAATAGGGGGGGGGTCGTATTTGGCCGCCAGGAGAAGGGGAGGGGATCGCATTCGTAGTTGGGAAAAATTTATCTTGATGCTTGGTTTGCTCGCCTGATGGACGTTGTAAAAAAATGGGGTCGTACTTGGTCATTTTTGGGAGGGGGAGGGTCGTATTTGCGTTTTGGACGTTTGGCGTTGTAGGAGTGGCGGTTGACTTTTGGTGATTTTCCTGTTTCATGCGTACTATATGCCCCCCCCCCCCCCGCTCGACAGCAAAATTTTTGGTAAAAAGTAGGGAAGTTTTCGGGAAATTTTGGAAAAAAGGGCAGGAAGTTGGAGAAAATCTGAGAATTGATTTGTAGAAGGGGGGGGGGGTCGTATTGTCTCGCGACTTTTCCTGTTTCACATGTGCTATTTACCCCCGCTCGACGGTCGACGGCTCGATTCGATGAGGAGGACAGAGGGCTGGGGGGGGTCGTACAGAGTCGACTAGAATCCCCAACCAATGATGTGTCCTGTCCTGGAATAGCTCGTTACGGGTATCTACTCAAACTATGTCACTTGAGAAGGTATTTCGAACAAGTAGTAGCACCGTATCTGTGGTAACAAGTGGTGGCTACGTGCACAGCGTTGAGGTGAGGGGCACGTTGTACGCTAGTGTGAAGCCAAGCGGTTAGTCTCATTGAGGCGCTGGGCGGACGTGGGTCGTATTTGGAAAAGGTGATTTCGTTATCCTTTTGGCGCGCGAGCTTCCCCCCCCCCCTTCTCCTAATTAATTTGCGGCGCAACAGAACAACTATTTTGACTCAGAACCGTCAGAAACTCTATTTCGCTTTTAGTGTAGTGCCAAGTAAGAGGGGAGTATATGCGCCGTCTTGGTGGCGGGACACTGCGTTCCACTGTTACCCCAGTGGCAGCTCACTGCCGCAAAGCCTGAAGTAAGCCATTGGTGGTGGCAGAATTAGAATAAGGTTATTCTTTCTGAAGATATAACTGTGCTGAACTCCATCAATCAAGTTGCAACTCGCCAAAAGCAGAGACTACCTTAAGCAGTTACAGTTAGCTTAGGGGTTACATTAAAAAAATGTTGCAAACCCTTCACACCATTAAGGAAGGCGATCCGGCTGAAATGACAGTATCAGATAAGCAGTTCACCAAAACGCCTGTTAGGACTGCTGCCATGGCCAATAGTTTGTCTCCTTGTATACATTCAATTTAGAGGAAAGGGTGGAGTAGTCATGATATCGACATTGATCTTGATTCGAGACGCGAATCGATCGACTTAGGCTCAGGGTTCCTCACTCCTTCCTGACCATTTCATTATTAGGTCAGTTGCGATTCGTGTGTAAGGAGATCCAAACTTTAAGTTTTCTGCGCTGATTGGCTCGCCTTTGAAAAAGCACCAGAGTAAAACATTGAAAATGCCTCCACTCATCACCCGGTTCAGCATGGGAAAGCAGGCGGTTATTGAAGATGCGAGGTGTTCATAACCAGACACGCACGCATGATACTACTAGCTTGCTGTATACCCCTATACCCTCCTCCTCCTCAAAACCACGAAAGTTTCACCATCTTCCCTTCCATATTTTCTTGGCAACTATTACAAATTGTGATGATACGGAGGCCGACAAGAAACGTGGGGAATAAGTACCGTCTTGATTCCTGTTCACGCTAGGGCGTTTCAGGGTGGGTTTGACGGTGCGCCAGCTTGTTCTCCACCATGTTTGGTCACCTGCCAGCTTCCACAGTTAGCGCAGAACGCGCTGGCGCAGCGCCAAACTCGCCTTTACCCCTTGATACGCCGCAGCGAACAAGCTGTTTAACATGCGTCAAGTTGGAAACAAAAGATTGTTCTCATGACAAATTAAGAACCCCTTTTGGCCTGCCGGCCAAGCATGACTTGCCGTTGTGTGCCACTTATCTCTAACCAGCCGGCTTCGCCGGCTGACGCCGGCGCGCCTTTTTCTGAGATACAGCACGGGCCGGGCGGGCGCGGCTCCACCGCGCTTATCTTTTCCACACATTTCAATACCCGCCTAGTATTCGGCTTTTCTTTCATCTGAACGGATGATCAACATTATTTCACCAATAGCACCATACCTGCTATTTTCAACACTATTACGGTGCATGAAATGGTGGAAAGGAGCGTTGATCAAGTGGACAGATGAGAGAAAGCCGGGTATTAGTCGAGCATTTGATCATACGAATGCAGGCAGGCGCGATGGACCACGCCGCGCAAGGCCGGGCCGTATCACAAAGGAGGTCTGGAGTGCCTGAAGTGATCTGGAACCGCCTGAGCAATTTCTAACGCTGGCCCCCGCTCTCCTCAACGCACGCTCCCCCCACAACGTATGCCTCTCGCTTTTTCGACTTGATAACCCCTCGCTGACTCAAGTACTTTTTCCCCAGATGGCACGACAGGAATTCTGGAAGATTTTTGCGAATTTTTTTTAAACTGCTCTACCACCTGCGGGAGCACGCCCCGCCTACAGCGGCCCTCGCGCCCTCTTAACTGAGCGATCCTCGATGATCATAAACTATTTTTTCCCGTGTCCTGGAGCTTTGGAAGCGTTTGCCGAATTTTTTAAGTTTGGCTCCACCCGCCTCTGGGCACGCCCCGCCCACAGCGTATGCCTCGCGCCTCTCAACTGAGGACTCCTCGCTGATCATAAACTACTTTTTCCCGGTGTCTGGAGTGCTTTGGAACCATTTTGCGAATTTTTCCGAACTTGGCTCCGCCCATCTTGGTGTAGGCTCCGCCCACACCGGGAGTTCCTCGCAAATTCTTACATTTGATCACTTAAGACCTATGCCTACTTCGTGCGACCATCTGCAATGATTTAGGATCAAACTACGGTTGTTCCGGCGGCGTTTCGCGCCTCAACGGCCACGCCCTGCCCATCGTGGGCGGCCTCAGCCAAGCCGCACAACATAGTGTGGAATTTTGCAGTGGACTTCTTGCAAGGATATTCTTCTTTTCATGGACTTTTTCTGCGCTCCCTAAAGCATTTTCGGGACCGAGCTGTATAACGACTTTGTGGAAGCGCCCCCCATCTCAAGTACGCCCCGCCCATTTCGGGTGTCTCTCCTCCATTTGGTGTGCCAACCCAGTGCTAACCTAATTCCACTTTTTCCAGTCTCCGAGCTGCTTCGTAGCCAAGTTATGGTGATTTTTCAGTGTCACGGAAGCGCCGCCACCTGCAAGTAGCCCGCTCCTTTCAGGTGTGTCTCCTCTTTTTGGTCAGTCAGGCCTTTGATAAACTTACTGCACTGTTTCCTCATCCCGGGACTGCTTTGGAACCGAGTTATGACTTTTTTTCAGTGACACCGCTAACTTTTGACGCACGCACCGCCCCAGCTGTGGGCCGACCTCTCAAGTCTTTTTCTACGGTGTTATGAATTTTGTGACAGACAACAGACAGACAGAGCAGACCAACACCACAGGGACATAGCCGGTTATATGTGAAGGAAGGGAATCTGGCGCAGTATACATGCACCTTATACTATTAAGGAGGTAGCACAGCGTTCATGCTCCATATATGCAAAGAATCGCATCCCTTTTATGGAATGATGTTTTTATTAAAAACAAGTGACTGCAATTGCATCTTTTGATATTGTTGTGCGACACTCTGTGCTTGCAATTCTCTGTGTCTTCTATGCTGCATGTCGCCTGAAAGTGAGTGATTTCCTTCGCACCCTGCCCCATTTGTAATCTGGTGTTTGCTCCGACTCTGAGAGTTACTGCTAAACAGCTTGCTCGCTGCGAATGCTGGAGCGTTCTCTCGATTTTCGCCGAATCGATCTTCGCCGAATTAGTGCAGTTTAGTCATTGCAGAGACAGTAACCTTCACATCATGTCTTGTAGCACCATAAAAAACAAAGGGCCGCGTATCAGGTGTAAGCTGGGACAAGAGACTTCAGGTACGATCCAGTTACTAATCGATGGACGCCTAACGTCGCTCCTACCACGACGAAAAGGAGCGAACTCGGTGTGGCTGCGCTTGGTGGTTTTCTTTATGCAGTTGGAGGCCAGTTCGACGGAAAGAGTTTGGACGTCGTTGAGCGGTAAGAGGTAATCTGGTTGAACCTCATTCATGTTGATATTTGTTTTGTTGTACAGCTCGCTGCCTCGACCCGAAACGAGTGGACCTACGTGGCACCACTCGGCAGACGGCGTTACGCAGTTTCCGTGTCCGTATTGAACGGATGTTTGTACGCAGTTGGAGGATGTGATGGCGAGGAAGCTTTGAATATTGTGGAGAGGTGAATGATGCATGATTTCTGTTAATATGATCTTCTTCAAAAATTGATAATTGAGAACTCGCTTCCATAAAGCAACCTTATCATGATGGAGAGCTTTCGCTGTTTTGACAGCTTCCTCAGACCTTAAATATGTGATCAAGTACAATAGTATTACAATTTCTAACAACATTAAGTTGGTCGAAATACAAACCAGGTTGACGTTAACGTACGTCAACCTGGTTTGTATTTCGACCAACTTAATGTTGTTAGAAATTGTAATACTATTGTACTTGATCACATATTTAAGGTCTGAGGAAGCTGTTCAAAACAGCGAAAGCTCACCAATAAAGGTGCTTTATGAACGAGTTCTCATTATCAATTTTTGAAGAAGATCGTATAACACATGAGACTCAGGGATAGCTCGATTCTATCATATCTGTTAATGTGATTGAACCTGACTTATGTTTCATGTAACAATGTTACTTGACGTTTGTCAAAGGCTGAAAAACAGTTGGTAAAAGTGATGCTCTTCGTTTCAGGTTTGACCCTCGTTGTAGGTACATGGGAAACAATTCGCCCGATGTCGACATGTCGCAAATTCCTGGGAACAGCCGTTCTCGATGACCATTTATATGCGGTAGGAGGGCAAGATAAGTCCAACTGCCACCTGAATTCGGCCGAAGTATACGACCCAAGCACGAACGAATGGACTGCTGTGGCAGACATGATCAAGGAACGATCTGGTGTAAGCGAGCTGTTTGGCTAAGAGATATGAACCATTATGTATTGTACGAGCATGGAAAATTCGAATGATATTTTTTTCTAGTTTGGTCGTTGCCAACGAAGGATTATATTGCTCTTGGAGGACACGGCTCTGTTGATGCCTGGAATCAGTCGAAGTTTTTCGTATTCAAACAAATCAATGGACAAATCACAGTCGCATGGATAAGGCGTGAGTTGTTGTTGAACCACAGTTGTTTTATTCTTAAACTTCACTTTGCGTCGAAGGTATTTTGAGATGCCACGCTGCGTGAACCAGGTCTTTTCTTGTGCTGTCTATTACATTGAGCGTCGCGTGAATTGTTAGTAATTACGCGCCGTTCGCACGTTTGTGTATTGCCTACAATTCACATTTTGTAGGGCGATTTTCCAGGATAATCGTGCGTTGAAGTTATTAGGTTGACCGGAAAGTTTCCCGCCACGTGTTTGATCGCACCATATTAGCCTTGCATGTATGTTTATGACTTATCGTGGGGTGTGCATGAAGCACGCAAGAGACTCTTTCACATCACTACCTCACACTCACCCAGCTTGCATTTGATTCCAAAATGCCGCTGTCTCTTTTCCTTCGATTCACGCTTGGCTTGAATCGCATAAGTAAGCCCATAGCCAAATATCGGATACATATGGCGCTGATCGCTATCCTCTGTACACGACGTGGCAGACCTGGATGGCCAAGTTCAAGAAAGATTTTTCTCTCCAAGATGCTCCAAGGTCCGGCCGGCCGATGGAGTTAGACTTGAAGTTGCTGCAATCCACCGTGGAAGAGGATCCGTACGCCACTACCAGGGAACTTGCAGCGATGCTCGGCCATGCCCAATCAACTGTTGAATCTGGGCTGGAGAAGATTGGTAAAGTCGCAAAGCTTGGCCGTTGGATTCCTCACCAATTCAATGGCGGGAAACTTTCCGGTCAACCTAATATAATCGTCAAATATGAGTTCAGTGTGTCTTACATAGTCTCCATTCTCTATATCTTGAAGCGAGGTGTTCATTTGATCCCATTATTTTCTTTTCTTTGGCACTATTTACCCTTTACTGCCCCAATCTTCCAAACAGGCCAGTTTCTGACCGACTTTTTTCTGCGTTGGCAGAATTGGCTGAAAATTTGTTCTCTGGGGTAGTTTGACCTCCTGAACATGAATATCACATCCGCTCGGCACGAAACCTCCTGGCGCTCGCGCCACAGGCACCGGCCTACAATACCCTGAATAACCGGCTGGCGCGGGTCCTAGGAAGTTTCGAGCAAAGTGAATACGATATTCGTATTCAGGAGGTCAAACAACCCCGGGCGGCAACATCAGCCGAAGCCATCCACGGAAAAAAAGGCAAAAACTAGCGCAACTCTGGATGGTCGGGCAGTAAAGGGTAAATAGTGCATTTTCTTTTTGGAAACAGCAGCTAAGTTTTCAGCTCTTCATAATAAGCGCAAATGGAAGCAGAACAAGTGCGAAGAGCATGCGGCACGAAGACTGACGTTACGTGGGGTTGTGAATTGCAGACAATTCACGCGCGGAGAGGCAGAAAGCGTGAACGGGAGTCGCAGCAAAAATACCGCGGCGTTCAATGTGATATCTTGTTTTCTCTCACCTTTTGGTGAAATGGGAATATACAATCCGTGAAGTAGCACGCGGCGTGTAGGCGGCGTGGATTGACTCCAACGGCGTCTGTTCCTGCGAATAGTTGCCCTTGAACCAGAATGTCGGTGGAAAACGCGGCCGACACTGGGACCTCCATTTCTGGTCATTTGATGTAGCGCTCAGACTTCGGGGTAACGCGCACCGACGCGCTGCAAAGCGCGACAACGCGCTGTGACGCTGTAGACAACGATGTTGCAATTGCAGCACGTTACAACGCGTAGACGCGCTTCATCGCGAAGTAAAAGCTGCCTGACACGCCTATCCAGTATGACGCGTCATGGTCTGTAATTCGTTTTGCTGTTCATGAGATGACGCAGACAAAGAGACATGATATCCTTGCAGCAATGCAGTCATTTCCAGACGAACGCTTGCTGCTGCGCTTCGGATTCCCTCGCAATTCTAACAGAAGCAGTGGTCAGCGAAGAAGGATATTTTTCTGATTTTTTTGGTGCCTTCATTTAACCAACCTTTGATAGCGCTTCTTATCTGTGAAGTCAATCAACTGTAGTTCGCTGTTTTCCTGTCACTGTTATTCAATGTATTTTCTTTGCATAACTTCGTCATTGTACAGTATTAACCTGTAAGTACCGATTTTGGATTTTTTTATGCACTCAGTTTCTTGAATACCACAAAATATTATGGAGTTATCTCCCCAGGAATAAATCTTCGAAGTTTCAGTTATCTTTACCTGCCCACCATGTAGCCTTGGCACAGAATCATACTTGACAATTTTCCAAAAAGTTCTAGGTCTGACGCCGCCGCCATGGATAATGGCTGATACGATCATTGAACTGATTGTTGTTTTCAGCTTCTTAAAGTTGAAGTAATTCTTCGTCCAGCTTCAATAAGGAAAGGTAAGGAGGTTTTACCAAGGCTAGGTTTCATTTTGCTTAATTTTAGTAAGTAGCATTGAATTTAAACATTCGAGATAAGTTCAATGATCGTATCAGTCATTATCCATGGCGGCGGGGTCAGACCTAGAACTTATTGTTGTTTTCAGCTTCTTAAAGTTGAAGTAGTTCTTCGTCCAGCTTCAATAAGGAAAGGTAAGGATGTTTTACTAAGGCTAGGTTTTATTTTGCTGAATTTTAGTAAGTAG